TTTTAAAAAATTTAGAAGTATTAAATTAAGGATTTTATTTCGCTTTCTCATTCTTATGTTCATTCTGATCATCTTTCCGTTTGTGAAACGCTTCCTTAGGTAACAACATTAAAGTTGTAACTTTCAAACTAGTTTGAATTGGTGTAAAGAAAGACGAGAATAACTTAATCCCATGTCCATGTTCAAAACATGTCGGGCATGTATTAGAAACGTATAAAATTAATAAATTTTAATATATATATATAGAATTTGTATAACAAATTAGTCCGTTTACTTATTATCGGTACCCTAACCCTAATATGTATAATTAAGAGTTGAATTTCCCAAATGTTAAAGAAAAAGATATCTATATATATAGATAGATAAGTATGTTATTATTTTATTGTAGCTCTATGCCATTTTCGTAGTTAAAAGACAGTAACGCCCTCTTCACCGTAGTGTGAGAGAGCTTAGTATAAACTGAGAGAGCAATCTAATGCTTGATGAAATCCTTGAAGACATCTTCAAAGGAATAGACCCAAGGTAGTCTTGGGTTAAGACCAAAGTCCTTTGCAATATATGACCATGGAACATTTATAGCTTCTATTACAAGAATATAATATTGATGATGTGCGTGGCTGTCGGAATTATCAGACAAACTGTTCACCACAGGCTTGTAAATCAAACGATGTCCACTCTTGTTTTTCCATTCCATTGCAAACCTTGCAGCCTCGTACTTTGTTGTGATTGACATCCTTAATTGGAAATAGATCGGAAGGAAACACTTTTTCACAACTCATTTTGGAATACTTTTGATAGATAGTTTCAACCAACTTGCTTTTCTCATAAATACTTTGGAGTTCCATACTTGTAGTCGTGACTAAATGCTATTCAAATTGATATAGTTGAATATTACAACAAAAACCACTTTTTCTCTCTTATTTTTCAAAGATAAGAAAGATTACTCAAATGCTGAAAGTATTATTATGCTCTTTAGAATGAATTTTAAGTTAACCACATTTTTTTACTTAAATAGAGTTAAATGGATAATTTTTCTTCTAGGGATCTTTTTAATAAAAGAAATGTGGATTTAGATATGCAAAACATTAATTAATTTTTTAAAATGGAATATATTTGTATTTAAAAATAAATAAATTTACGGCCTTTTTCAACCTTGCGATGCAAACAAATTAGAGAGCATCAAAATATTTGTTCCTAGCAGCAAAAAAAAAAAAAAAAAAACAAAAAAAAAAAAAAATATATATATATATATTTATTTATTTATATATATTGAGATTATAGTATTTTTTATTTTAAAAAATTTACTTTTTGTCTCTAAAATTTAATTTGATAATCCGACTTAATTGAACTATATTCAAATTGACTCACACCTTTTTTTTAGAATATTTTATTTTATAATATTATAATGTTTTTTATAACTGTTTTAAGTTAAGAATTTTTTTTTTCTAAAAATTAATTTTTAGTCTGCGATGGATAATTGAATCATTGTAATATTTTAATTACCTTTAAAATTAAATTTTGGAATAAACTAATTACATCAAACTCTTCCTATACATTTTATTTATTTTTGTATGAATTAAATTTTGAAAATCATTCAAATTATAACTATTTTAATTCAAACATATTTAATAACTAATTATTTTAATGTTTATATTCAAACATTTTATTGAGGAAGTAAAATTTTGGAAGATAATAAGTATATTACTGATAAAATTAATATTTTTTTATAATATTCCTATTTACCTCGTGATAATGAAATTTGATAGTACTTAAATATGCATAATTATGAGTTTGAGTTTGACAAAATTAGAAGAAAAAAAGAGAGATAAGTATATATTAGAGATAAGTATGCTATTATTTTATTATGGCTCTATGCCATTTTCATAGTTAAAAGATAGTAACGCCTCTTTTATTGTAGGGAGAGAGGGCTTAGTGTAAACAGAGAAAGCAATCTAATTCTCATTGAAATCGAGGACATCTTTAAAGTATATGAGATCCATCTCTTTCTTATTACCGCCACCCTGGCTTGCACCCTTGCAATAAATGACCAAGGAAGGCCATCCTTCTTTCTAACTTCTATCACAGTAATAAAAACTTGGATATAACTAAATGGGTTGCCAATCATAATTGACCGACCGTTCACCACACCCTTGTAAACTAAACTATGTTCACCCTTGTTATACTCTTCTACGGCAAACCTTCCAGCCTCTTGCACTCTTTTGTCATTGACGTCCTTAATTTCTGGCATTTCAATTGAAGGATGCATTTCTCCCGAACTCATTCTCGAACACCTTTGATAGTTAGTTTCAACAGAATTAGTTTCAACCGATTTACTTTGTTCATGAATACTTTAGAGTTCGATATTTATAGTAGTGCTTGAACGCTATTTAAATTGATATAACTAAATCTTACAACAAATACCAATTCAGCCTTCCTATCTTATTTTTTAAAGATAAAAAAGATTATTCTCCACGACATGTCATAATTTAGTGCAACTTATTTTAATTTGAATTAGTTAGGAAATATATATTAGATATTCGTAATCAGTTGAATTTGAATAGTAGTATATTTTATTTTATTATCAAGATTTAGTTAGTTTATATTTTCTTTTTAGATATTATTTAGTACCTTCTCTTCTATTTAAAGGTTGTAGACATCAATGAAAATTGAACCTTCAATCCCAATTCTTTTTCTTATTCTTAAATTTGTATTCTTTCGTTGAGTAATAATATTTTCATATCTACTCACACTTTTGAGTGGTAGATATTGCGTCACGACATTGATTATTCTCTCTTGCGTGAATTTTAAGTGAAACACATTCTCTACCTAAGTAATTTCAAGCGGCAAGCTTCATATCAAGAGGAATCGAAGCCCCAAATATCAAAGTTCGTAAATGTGAATTAAACTTGTTTTCCTGACTATATCTATTTATAGAAGTCAAATGTCTGAGCCAGAATAAAAATGAGATATGGATACGAAATATAAATGACACTATAACACTGACACATTAATTTTAAATATATATATAGATTTTAAATTTATCAATTTTATACTATATATATATATTTTAAATTTATCAATTTTATATTAAAAAGAAATTCAAATAAATAAGTATATATATTTGCGTGGTTAAAAATAGTTTAACATATCCCTTATATTAATAAGTGTTCAATGCATATCCAACACGTGTTGAAGAGGGATGAGAATAAATTATTCTAATGCTTTTTTTACACAAACTCAAAGTAGTTTGAAAACAAGCACATCAAATATTACGATTGACTAACTACAGCACTTTAAGTTTATCATTTAATGGGTCGTTTAGATCATAGGAACGAAGATGAGAACGAACATATAAAGGAGAAATGGAAATAAAATCCTTAAACTTTAGTAAGATGAGAATGAACATATAAAGGAGAAAGGGAAATAAAAGCCTTAAACTTTAGTGCATATTTTCAAAGATGGAACGTTAGAATAAGTTATTTTCATGTTTTCTTTATATGGTCAAACAGTATTTAATAAGCTTCCAAAATTAAGAGTTTTCCTTTTTCTTTTTCTCCCATTCTTCCTGTTTAATTTTTTTTTTAAGTTAAATGTGAGAAGGAAAAAATTAGGATGGAGAAAGAAAAAGAAAAAAAAATTATATTTTTGTCGTATTTATGTCTCAGATTTTTTTAAAAATGACATGAAAAGTATCTATTAGATATTTAATTAATTTGTAGAACTTATATTTGCTTGTCCACCCTACTCGAGATTGAAATAAATTAATTTTTTAGTTTTAATTAAAATTGTATATATATATATATTTTTTAAATCAAAGCTAAATTAATGAAAATACCACTAATAAATTAATTGTTTAGTACTCTGTCTAAAAGATATAATTTCAATAATATTCTTAAACTTTAAAAAAAGTTTAAAAAATAGTTATGAAGTTTTAAATTAAAAATATCTTTAGGAAACTGTTAATCATTTTTTTTAGAAAATAGTAATTTTCAAAAGATTTTAAAACCATCCTTTCAACTTTCGAAAGTATTTAAAAAAATACCTATGAATTTTCAAAATTTTTATTAATATCCTCAATTAAAAAAAAAAAACTAAAAAAATAATCTTATGGTTCTTAATGAACTTTCAAAACTAATATTAAAAAAGAGGATAATCTATGAGGTGTCGATAAATACTTTCCAAATATTGACGGCAAAATATGTATTATTATTATTATTATTATTATTTTTGTAAAGGTGAAGGGGGTTAATACTCCATCTAAATTTTCATGGATATGTTTTAAACACAATACTAAATTTAAGATTATTTTTGAAAATTTTAAAAGTGGAAGACTATTAATAAATCTTTATAAAGTTCAACTACATGGTTGTAATTCAGTCATATTTTTAAACAAACTATTAACCGTTTCTATAAAAAAATTAAGGGTAATAATATTTTGTAGAATTCTTTTAAACAAATTTAGAAGTTTAATTGAAACTTTTAAAAAAAATTTAGAGGTATTTTCAAGATAAAAGCATATAGTTTAGGGATATTTTTATTAATTTAGCTAAAAAATTTATATAAATAAAAAGAGAGGGAATAGGGGATAGAAAAACATATGTATAGAAAACTTTTGATTTTGGAAACATATCAAATGCGATTTGACCGAGAACAACTTATTCTCATGGCCATCTTCAAAACATGTCGGACATGTATTAGACACGTATAAAGATAAATTCAACATTTGTTGGATATTTATCGAACACTTACCCTCCAAATAAATTTTTAGAGTAAAATGCACAATAAATTATTTAAAATATGTTAGTGCATAATGTTATTGATTTTAAATTCCTTTCTAATATAAAATTAATAAATTTTAATATATATATAATAAATTAGTCATTTTACTTATAATTTTCATACTTATTGAGAGTTGGGTGTCGCTAAACCTATTAGGCAAATTTTAAAGAAAAAGAAAAGGATAAGTAGATATATAGATAGATAAGTATATTATTATTTTATTGTGGCTCTATACCATTTTTATAGTTAAAACACAGTAACGCCCTCATTTATTGTAGAGAGAGAGGGCTTAGTGTAGAGAGCTAGAGAGCAATTTAATGCTTCTTGTAATTCTTGAGGACATCTTCAACTGAAAAGACATGGGGCTCTTTCCCGTTACCTCCAAAGTGCTTCACCTTTGCAATATATGACCAAGGAATACCATCGTCATTTATAGCTTCTATTACAAGAGCATAATGTTGAGAATCTTCGTGGTTGCATTTAGAATCGGACAGACCGTTTATCACACGCTTGTAAATCAAACAACGTCTTTCCTTCTCGTTTTTCCATTTTATTGCTGCCTCTGCAGCCTCTTGTACTTTTTTGTGATTGACACCCCTAATTGGATATGGAACTGGAGGAAACACAGGTTCACAACTCATTTTGGAACACCTTTGATAGATGGTTTCAACAAACTTGGTTTGTTCATGAATACTTTGGAGTGCCATATTTATAGTCGTGGCTGAACGTTATTCAAATTGATATAGTCGAATATTGCAACGAACACCAATTGAGCATCCCGCACTTATTTTTCAAAGACAAAAAAGATTATTCTCTCGAATATGTTACGGTATTGATTATTCTCTTTAGAGTGAATTTTAAGTTAAACACATTTTTTAATTTTTGTTAGTGGATTTAGATATGAAAAAGATTAATTAATTTTTTAAAATTAAATATATTTTTATTTAAAAATAAATAAATTCACAGTCTTTTTCAACATTTAAACACAAACAAATTTAGGGAACATTAAAATATATGTTGGTAAAAAAAAAAAAAAATATATATATATATATATATATAATACAACTTTTTAAGTAAATTTAATTTTTTTTATATCTGGAGAAATTTGCCGTATGTATGGCTTATAATTTAATTTTAACATTACGCATATAATTATTGAAATTATCATATTTTTTATTTTAAAAAATTTACATTTTTTGGTCTCTAAAATTTAGTTTGATAATCCATTTAGTTGGATATAATTAATGTTAAATAAAATTGTGAGGAGAAGTTTGAATTGAGCTAGTTGAACAGGAAATATTAAATTATATAAGTTTCTTTTTAAACATTCACACCAACAAAACAAAGTAGTCACTGTTATTGGTGCCATGTTTTTAATTCTCTGTTATTTTTCAAAGATAAAACAAGATTTCTCTCTCTAATATGGTATGATTTTGATTATTAGCTCTTGAGTGAATTTTAAGTGAAATACATTTTTTACTTGATGAAGCAAACACTAACTGATGGATTGCTAATATATTATATAAAATTTAATGGATATAAATTTTAAATATTTTAAAGTTAAATGTGTAATACTTTATTAATCTTTGAAATAAGAAATATGTTAGAGATACTATAATCAAAGGTATTATAATGACTTGTGTGGAACAGGTGCTTGCAGACTCTATAGTGCCGATTGAGGATGAAAGGATTATGTGGAAAGAAATCTTGGTTTATTTATGTATCTCTCATTTATCGAGCGTCACATTGATTACTGTTATATTATGTGTGTAAAAGATTATAGGTAAAGTGGTTAATTTTGTAGAGAAATACTTGTCTATCAATTTTTTTTTTTTGTTCTCTCACATTGGATTATAAATGTCTCCATATATGTCCAACACATGTCGATTAGGAACACGAGAATAAGTTACTCGTTGCTTTCTTTAGACCCATTTAAAGCGGCCTGAAAGCTAGCTAGAATGTCAAATATTATACTTGACTAACTACAACTTTAATTTTGTCATTTAATGGGTATTTTTAGACCAAGGGAACCGTGAGAATAAGTTATTCTTATGCTTTCTTTATATCAGTCAAAGAGTATTTAATACGCTTCGAGAATTATAGATTTTCTTTTTCCTTCTTCTTCCTTTTTCTCATTCTTCACATTTTACTTTTTTTTTAAAAAGAAAAAAAAAATTAAACGTAAGAATGAAGAAATTAGGAAATAGAAAGAAAAGTGTATTTGTTGTATTTATGTCTTTTAAGTTTTTTTAAAAATGACATGAAATCTTGTCCGGTCATTTTGGAGCTCTTACTGTCGAAAATAAATATAAAAGTTAAATATATTTACAATATAGAGAAATATCTATTGAATATTTAATTAATTTTTAGAATTTATGTTTGCGTAAAATCTTCTGGTTGTTATTTTTTTTATCAAACTAAAATAAATTAATTCTTAGAATTAATCAACTGATTATTTATGAATTTTGAAAAAAAAATTATTGATATCCTTAACTTAAAAAAAAATTCTCCAAAAATAATTGGAGTGTCAATACACATTTCAAAATATTAATTAACTCTTAAAGGGAACATTAAAAAAAAATAGATAATCTTAGAGGGGTTCATAGATGATTTCTATCAATATATTGACGGTAAAAATCTTTTTGATTTTTCTTTTGTTTTTTTAAATAGTAAAGAGTAGTGATGCTATCTAAACTTTCATGGGTATATTTCAAACACAGTATTAACTCTAAAGTTATTAAAAAAAAATTAAAAAAAAAAAGTTAAAAGGGGATGACTGTTTCAATTCGACCTTAGTTTTGAAATAAAGTATTAGCTATTTCAAAATTAATCATAAGAATATTTGGTAGCATTTATTTTAAAAAATTTAGAAGTATTAAATTAAGGATTTTGTTTCGCTTTCTCATTCTTATGTTCATTCTGATCGTCTTTCCGTTTGTCAAAACGCTTCCTTAGGTAACAACATTAAAGTTGTAACTTTCAAACTAGTTTTAATTGGTGTAACGAAAGCACGAGAATAACTTAATCCCATGTCCATCTTCAAAACATGTCGGGCATGTATTAGACACGTATAAAATTCATAAATTTTAATATATATATAGAATTTGTATAACAAATTAGTCATTTTACTTATAATCGGTACACTAACCCTAATATGTATAATTAAGAGTTGAATTTGGCAAATGTTAACCAAAAAGATAAGTATATATGTATAAATAGATAAGTATGTTATTATTTTATTGTGGCTCTATGCCATTTTCATAGTTAAAAGACAGTAACGCCCTCTTCACCGTAGAGAGAGAGGGCTTAATATAAACTGGGAGAGCAATCTAATGCTTGATGAAATCCTATAGGACATCTTCAAAGGAATAGACCCAAGGTAGTATTAGGTTAAGACCAAAGTGCTTCACTTTTGCAATATATGACCATGGAATACCATCGTCATTTATAGCTTCTATCACAAGAATATAATATTGATGATGTGCGTGGCTGTCGGTATTATCAGACAAACCGTTCACCACACGCTTGTAAATCAAACGATGTCCACCCTTGTTTTTCCATTCCACTGCAAACCTTGCAGCCTCTTGTACTTTTCTGCAATTGACATCCTTAATTGGAAATAGATCCGAAGGAACCACTTCTTCAAAACTCATTTTGGAACACTTTTGATAGATAGTTTCGACCAACTTACTTTGCTCCTAAATACTTTGGAGTTCCATATTTATAGTCGTGGTGAACGTTATTCAAATTGATATAGTCGAATATTACAACAAACACCACTTTAGCATTCATCTCTTATTTTTCAAAGATAAAAGAGGTTACTCGAATACATTACCGTATTGATTATTCTCTCTAGAGTAAATTTTAAGTTAACCACATTTTTTTACCTAAGTAGAGTTAAATGGGTAATTTTTTTTTTCTAGTGATCTTTTTAATAAAAGAAATGTGGATTTAGATATGCAAAACGTTAATTAATTTTTTTAAAATGGAATATATTTGTATTTAAAAATAAATAAATTCACAGCCTTTTTCAACCTTCCAATCCAAACAAAGTTAGAGAGCATCAAAATATTTGTCCGTAGCAACAACACAAAAAAAAAAATAATAATAATAATAATAAAATATATATATATATATATATATATATATATATATATACTTTTTGTCTCTACAATTTAATTTGATAATCCGAAATTAATTGAATTATATTCAAATTGATTCACAATTTTTTTTTAGAATATTTTATTTTATAATATTATAATGTTTTTTTATGACGGTTTTGAGTTAAGAATTTTTTTTTCTAAAAATTAATTTTTAGTCCGGCATATAATGGATGATTGAATCATTGTAATATTTTAATTACTTTTAAAATTAAATTTTGGAATAAACTAATTACATCAAACTCTTCCTATACATTTTATTTATTTTTGTATGAATTAAAATTTGAAAATCATTCAAATTATAACTATTTTAATTTAAACATATTTAATAACTAATTATTTTAATGTTTATATTCAAACATTTTATTGAGGAAGTAAAATTTTGGAAGATAATAAGTATATTAATGATAAAATTAATATTTTATTTTTACCTCGAGATAATGAAACTTGATAGTATTTAAATATGCATAATTATGAGTTTGAGTTTGACAAAATTAGAAGAAAAAAAGGAGAGATAAGTATATATTATAGATAAGTATGCTATTATTTTATTATGGCTCTATGCCATTTTCATAGTTAAAAGATAGTAACGCCTCTTTTATTGTAGAGAGAGACGGCTTAGTGTAAAGAGAGAGAAATCTAATTCTCGTTGAAATCCTCGAGGACATCGTTAAAGTATATGAGATTCATCTCTTTCTTATTACCAGCCACCCTGACTTCCACCCTTGCAATAAACGACCAAGGAAGGCCATTCTCCTTTCTAACTTCTATCACAATAATAAAAATTTGGATATAAGTAACTGGGTTGCCAATCATAATTGACCGACCGTTCATCACACCCCTGTAAACTAAACTATGTCCACCCTTGTTATACTCTTCCACTGCAAACCTTCCAGCCTCTTGCACTCTTTTGTCATTGACGTCCTTAATTTCTGGCATTTCAATTGAAGGACGCATTTCTCCCGAACTCATTCTCGAACACCTTTGATAGTTAGTTTCAACAGATTTAGTTTCAACCGATTTACTTTGCTCATGAATACTTTAGAGTTCGATATTTATAGTAGTGCTTAAACGCTATTTAAATTGATATAACCAAATCTTACAACAAAGACTAATCCAACCTTCCTATCTTATTTTTCAAAGATAAAGAAAGATTATTCTCTCGAATATGGTACGATATTGATTATTCTCTCTTGCGTGAATTTTAAGTGAAACACATTCTGTACCTAAGTAAT